TTTTAAAGGTGGTCATGCACATAGACACCCAGCAAAGTGCCTGTCATCCAGTGGCTCCCTGACAGACAGGCTTTAAATATATTTAAAGGTATTTAACCAGATAACACTCAGGAATTCTTGCTGTGGAACTTCCCACACACACCTTGGATAATCAATAGGCTATTTCTGATGCTATTCAAGATTTTATCTCCTTTGAACTTCCTTCCTTTGGGTTGGGGGACGACTTGGTCTTTGTCTTTAGGGGCAAAGATAAGCCTCTAATAGACACATGCAAGAACTTTTGATTATTTCACTGCTTAGGTTAAAGGAGGATTAGAAAGAATTTTTTCCCCCAGTACCTAACAGATTTGAGAGTGCAGGGCTTGGGGGAGTGAGTGAGAAGGGTAGGGGTTCATCTCCACAGCAGGCCAGGGACTGATGAGACCGCATGAGAATGGCCCTGTGTAATGCTAGTCAGAAGCTGGTAAACAAAGCAGGGAATCCCATTTCTCACTGAAGCAAAACTGAAAGTAAGTACTCGGGTGAAGGTACCAACTAAAAATCCTGGGCTTGCATCTCTTGATGCCAGTACAGTAAGAAGCCAAGTGTCTCAGCTACTTAAAACGCAGACAAAAAGGGAGTCTGGGATCCTAACAACAGTTGGAGACCATGATTCAAGGGTGTGAGAGAAGCTTAACTGTTCCATTGGTGAGAGAGATGGAAACAAGGAAGTAAGGAATAACAAGCAGCAGTGGAAGTCTGGTATAGACGGCTCCTAGGTAATTCTACCAGGTAGCCTGGACTTCACTATTCTACATTCAACACATAGGACTATAACACTCAAATTTAAAAATAAACCCTCTGGGCTTTCCTTGATGAGCCAGACATGTGGGAGGGGGACAAAGCGTCAGCAGGGGCTAGCTCTGGTCTTTAGTATCTGCCATTCCTCGAGGCACTCAATTCCCAATGGAAACACGCTGGCTGTTAGCGTCTTAGATTATTATCAAAGGGAAGTGATGGACGAGTCTCTACAGCCTCTGCAAATGTTTAGTGATGCTGTCAGGGGAAGCAGATATACTGCCAAGACAACAGCAGCTCCCACATATGGTTTTTCTGTTTGGATTCTCTATTCACAGTTGCTACTCTAAGCTAAATATTTCCTTACTTTAGGAGAAAGAAAAAAAAAAATCCAGCTGGATTCCCAGATCTTTTACAATTCATAGGCCATGACAACGGTTGGGTGATTGCTCTACATGTAATTGGAGATTATGGTTACTCCTCTAAGCAGTTATTAGGATTGCAATTATTCCTTCCAGCTCATCACTACTACTTGCTGCTTAGTTCCAAACTGTAGATGATGCCCTTAAGGTCTATACCCTGAAATGGTGTCCTTCCTCTTAATCACCCTTCAAATTGTTTTGCATTACCGAAGCCTCCCAAGAAAAGCATGCCTGAGAAGAGTTCTTCTTTTTATTTTCCTTTTTTTTTTTTTTTTTCTTTAGCACCACAGCTCTATCCATCTTCTGACTGTGTGTTTTTTTTAGGGTACTCCCTCCCTGAAGGTGCACTCAATGCAGTTCTGATTCACAGAATTGCACCCAGTTCACCCAGACCTCAGAACTGGCCTGCATAAAACAAAAAAGCCACAAACTGGCACCTCACTAAGATAAAAAAGATACCTGGCCTATTCAGTCAGTTCCTCCACTTGTCTTCTGTCAGTTCATGCTTTCTCTCTATCAAAGCTTGCCTGCAGTTTGGGGAGGTCTCTGGGCAGCTCTCTTGTTCACCAGCAGCTGTCAGTCGTGAGCTGCCCTGTCAAGAGTCCTGCACCAACCACTCAGCATCACCATTACTTACAACAGACACTCCAAGACACTACATTAACAAGTTCTGAAAAATAATAATTCAAAAATAATTTTAAAATAAATATCTCTAGATCTTAAGACTGCTGAAACAGAATGACATGTATCTACTCATCTTTATTTGGAGAAGAGTTGACTCCAAATAGGCTGCCTAACGTTTCAGGATATGTCCGAGAGGAGACTCTGCTAAGGAGGGCCGGTCTAGGTGCCTTCAGGGAGAGTCTGTAGGCAGCCAGAGCAGGGCAGGAATCCTGGGCCAATGCTTTCACTGGGGCATTGTCAATAGGGTAACTCCTGCAGGCACGTGGTCTGCTCAAAGCGAGTTAGAAACATTTACAATAACAATTACACTAACAATTCTTACCTGCTCACATACAAACTTACCTTCAAACTACATGAAATTGTTTTTCAATATGTTTTAAAAGGCGCATCCTCCTAGAATAGATCAAAATTTTTAAGCTTGATCCATTCAGCCACCTGACAACCCAAGATGGCTCACATTTGTTTCCTGAGGCAGTAATGAATCATTTCACTGTGGTCTGACAGCATTTGGTATCACACAGAAGCCAAGAGCAGCCTTTGATAACGCCAGAAGAGGGAAATCAAACTAAGGAATCTTAAGAACTTTTTGGCTGGATTGAAATCGATGTGCCTGGCAGACTGTGGGCTTCCCAAAAGCAAGGTATGTGGGAAATGTCCAAATTGCAGCTGTACTTACATCAGCCTTTCAAATAAAGAGGAGCACTTGCAGTCTAAGTGTTCATATCTATTTGTATTCATCTTAGGACATTTTAAAAAATGGCTATTATCCACAACAGATTAAGGAGTACTTTATGAACAGTTAAAGAACATTGGGTAACTGTCTCATTAAGACGGTAGCATGCAACACTGCTGCCTCATTTGTTAACGGTCAACCAGTGAACTCAAGTCACAGAGCACAGGGTTGTTTTTTAGCAGTCAGAGTCAATGCTAGCAAAGCTGAGCCACCTAGATTTCATTCCCATGGAAAATATTCTTCAGTCTGCAAGAAAAAAAAAAACCATCCAGCTTGAAAGAGATTCGATTCCTGCAGATCAACCATACATAGAGAAATTTTCTTTTTAAACGTTCCCTTCAGGCATAACTAGGGAATTAACAGCTGAAGTGGAAGAAATGGATGATGTCTATTTAAGCAGTATAACGACCTTCTGAAAAACAAAGGCTGAAAAAAGCAGTATTAGAATTTACACCTGAGGGAAAGAAACAAAGTTTTGGAAACACCAGACACTGTCAGGAGAGGTTTGGCTGTCATCTCCATCTTCAAAATACTGTACCCATCTCAACAAAAAGAGAATTGCTACTGTATAATGCTCCAGGTCTTCTTTGACAGGTACATCACTTTTGTATTTTTCATCAAGAACTCCACACAAGACCTTTACACAAACCAGTGTCAGCATCACACTGATCTCATACTCACTAAACTGTCAACCTGCAAGACCAGTAATCAAAGTCAGTGTTTCAATTCTGCATTGCACTGTTCTCTATGAGATTTGCGTTACTCACCTGAGTAGATAACAAGGTCTGTAACCCCCCTTGCCTACAGCCAACGTACTTCATTGAGACCTACCCATATACTGAAGTTGATAGCATACTTTCTTGTTGAGATGGTTTCCAAGCAGATAATGAAGGCCATAATCACAGAGTCAATAATCTAACAAAGTAAAAAGGCAAAGATTTATCAAGAAAAAGAGAAGACCAGCAGAAGTCATGAGATTTTCTACCTTTCTTCACCCTTTACCTGCTGTTTTAGAAATAGTAACTGATCTCGTTAAAACCAGTTTTATTACGAAGAAAAACACAATATTCACGCAGATAAGTACTCCTGTTGGTGTCAACATAATTTCTCTGAGCAAACACAGGCCACAAAGTTCTTTGGTACATCCCTATTAAGAACATAACATTTTAGTAACTGTACAAGGGGCAAAATATAACCTTTCACGAATTTAACTGACACTGCATGAGGAGTATGTTACCCCATACTTCATCCCAAAACAATCTTGCTTAACCAGTTGGAGGAAAAGGACAACAAAAGGCCTTATAGACTGCAAGTGTTTGGCAGATTTGACTGGGTATCACTCCTTGAGCAATTTTAACACCTTTGCCCATTTGAGGAAGAATGAGGCAAAAGGACCCATTTCAGTTTAAGCAGCTCCTGAGACAAGCACTGTTAAACGCCCATTTCTGTAACGCGCACACCCCAGCCTTTTCCCAGCCCTGCCACCGGTACACTTTTTACTGATTCATGCTCAAAGCCGCACCACATCAAATAGCTGTAAATTTACATGTTTGCATTTCTAGCAAGATTTTTTACTGCTCTGCCACTCCCTTCTACAGGTATCAAAAAAGATCTATACAAAATATTCCTATAAAAAAAATCAGCTTCTTAAAGATTAGATGTTTGAAAATGTAATGGTTTTATTTGGAGTAAAATACAACATACACATGAACAGGGACAGATTAACAAGTAGAATGCACTATTAAGAGGCTGCCAGATAAATGCAAGGCAGAGGATTGCACGTAGAAGAGTCGAGAGAAGCAAGCTGTTTTCTGGTGAGGTTACATTAAGAAAGGAAACGAAAACATCTGAAATAACTAATTTCCCAAGAAAGCTGCTCTGTTAGCAGCTTCCCTACGTGTTCTCAGATTATCATCTTAATGTTAAGAATACTGGTAAAATCAGAATCTGCCTTCTGACATTCAAATTTGTTTCAAATAAATTCAAAGAAAAAGCACGACTTCAATTAGTGGCTTTATTTGAAAGGCTCCAGCACTTCCGCTATAAAGTGTATTTACCTCACTGTCTAATGATCATCCTCTAGCAAAATGTTACTGACCACATTTTGGTAAGGTATGACATGCCCAGCGGGAAATAACATTACAGAATCAGCGTGCTTCATTTTTTTCCTCCTACTTTCTACTTCCACTGATGGAATTTTCACATATAATGTCACCTCATGGCTACATTAACTATATAAAAATAACAACTGTAGTTTCCACCTCAGAGACATCAAAAAACCCTAATGCTTTTTTTTTTTTTTTCCCCTTTTTTTCCTTTTCTTAACAAAAATAAACGCCTTTCTTTGTAGAGAATGACCTCAGTTCTTCAATAAGCTCCTGTTTGCCATTTCTCAAGGAATGTCAGCGGTTAACAATTAAAAACATGACTATAGAAACTAATACCTATAAACTGTAGTTTTACAAGAAAGTAAGGTAGGAGTTTCAGCGTGTTATTAGTACTAATAAAAAGTTATTTTAAGCACTAGAAGCAAGAAATATACCATTCAAAACAAAAATTATTGAAAAATAATACCAGTCTACATTTTCTTTCTATGGCAGCTTCTGATCGATCACATGTTTTTGCATTTTAGTCCTCTGGCTCATATCTAAGAATTAAAAAAAAAATAATACTTTTAAAAAATCATTAAAACAGAGCAGAAAATACCCACGAGACCATATGTCTCTGAAGAAATGTGAAACCCAAGTTAACAAATTACTCCCACTAGAGATGCATTCCTGTCAAGGTTCACTGTATGATTTAGGGCACAGACAAATGTACATACTTTTTAGACTATTTTCTCTTTCTAGAATTGGCCAGTCTACCAAATAGTAGAATGAGGAAATGACGGAGGAACCTACCCACAAATCCCAAAATACTGGCAGAAATTGAAACAGAAGTTTTAAGTTCCATCTCTGTCCTCCTGCAGCGTGGGTCTAAGCCACCCGTGTTGCCAAAGCTCACCTGACATTTGCAGAATGACGGTCTTCTACGCAATGTAATGGCCAGGGTGCATCTTTTCTACTCAATGCAGGCCTAACCCTGTTCACATACTGTGGACTTGTCATTCCCATAACCAAGTGTGGAAGAAATAAGACCATGCCAAAGCATCTGGTACATCTCCCATCTCTGTGTGCAGCACTTGGGGGCTTATCTGCCACACCCACAAATATTCTGTCTGTATCCTCTCCATACTCTCATTACTTGCCACACGGTAGCTGCTGTTGCACACATCAGTCCTATTCCCCTAGCACCCATTAAAAGGATTGCCTTGTCAAAAATCACAGAACAGCCTACTAGAAATTCTTTTTAAGGGAAAATTTACAGTCTGTTTTAGAGACAGCTTCACATTTCTAAAACAAAATCGAAGCAGAACATAGATACAGAACAAGGACGTTTGGACAGACAGGACGGCACCGCTTACTTGGAAAGCTTTTTACGTAGATCCTTTATCTGTTCATTCTTCTTAGTGAGAATCTCTTTCATGTTGCGATAGGCAGCAGTTTGCTGAAATTTCTTCTCCAATTCCTACATAAGAATAACATGAACATATTATTTACATATTATGAAAACCAGGCTAAGATGCTTTTTAAAAAAAGATGACTTGCTTTTCCTCCTCGTGTTTCAGAACAGTAGTTTCTCTTACTTACTCAAATTTAGATGAAGTCAACTAGCAGATTCAAATGAGATTACTGGGAGAGACAGAGAAACACAAATTTTATTTTCTAATGAAATCAGAAAAAAGTCTTCTGAAGACTGGGAATACACTTTTCATTCAAAAATTTCTCTGCAGACAAATGGGCAGTTTTAAGTATTCACCTAGTTATAACCATGCAGTTAGTTATGGTTTTGCTATTTTATGTGTAACATGTTTTTCCAATGAAATAAGAAAGATACACAGGGATAAGTGTGACCCAGTAAACTCTGCATCCTGCAGTGTACGCTTGTTAAATTACCGATCAGTTAAAATGTAAGTAAGGATCTGGACTTCACATTACAATAAAACGCTAACCTTTTCAGCTGTGGATAGCTGATCCTGAACTTTAAGCAAGTCATGTTTTGTTGTCACCAAGTTCTCTTCCAAGAATTTTTGGTTTGCAGTAGAGTCATTCAAAGTCTTCTCAAACTGGTATTTCAAAGCTGCCACTTTATTCTCCAGTTCAGTGATATCCTGGTTTGCATTAATCTTCAACAGAAGAAATATTTAAAATATTTAAAATATGTCAAATGCAAGAGAAGAAATACTTAAAATGTCAATTGCAAAATTCCACATAAAGTGGGTACATCTTAATTTTTAATAATTATGTTCATGTTATTCCTGTAAAGTCTACATTAGAAGTGCTTTGGTTAAAAATATTAGTAAAGTCTTAACTAATTTATAACTTTAAAAAATTGTTGATAAATGCATTTTAAAGATGGCTGGACTGTCTTCTCTGCCAAGTTAAGGTCTCAAGTTTTGTACTTCATTTCTTTAGGAATTAGGTGAAGCCACAGGATGAAGCATATCACAAGAAGTTACTTAGCATACAGGAATAGTAAATTACAGTTTAAGATCTGAATGCCTATGCTGTAATGTATTTTTAAAGCAGGTAAAATATCACAGGCATTCAAAAGCCGCTAGCATAATAGAGGTAGGAAGGGATGAAAGTGTTAAGGCTCATGTTATCAATCAGGTACCCATACTGCACTGTTCTTGGATGCATTACAAAAAGGGCCTCCACAGTTGCTTGTGAAGCAACTTTTCTGTTTCCTTGTGAGAAGAAACAACCCAAACTCTTCTGGCCATCAGTTCACAAAATACTATATTCATGTAACTATTCTTTGGATTTCCATTTAAAAACACTAAAAAGCTCTCAGGTTTAAAAGCTCAGCATCAAACTCAAAAGCATAATGGCTCAGGATGAGGCTGAACCAGCAGCACCTTAAAAAGAACAAAAATCTAAAACTAAGGAAGCTCTGCTCCTTTTTCTGTGTGGAAGGTAAGATTTGAGAATGGGAAACCACTTGATAATAGTACCTGTACAGAAGGAAAGCTTGTTTTGAATTTTGAAACAGTCCAAGGGTGCAATGCTGGAAAGCACTACATCGTATAATGTTTCAGATCAGAACAAAGAGCAATCATTTTTCTAAACTCTGACATAAGTCAATTATGTAAAAATTCAAAATCCTCAAGTTAAACTTATCCAACAGAGCAGTTACTCCCTAACTGTGGTTCCCACTTGCTGTGTGGAACCATATTAACCATTAAAAAAAACCCCAAACATAGAAGTCTGATGAGCTAAGAGTCCTTAAGAACCATTGTGGTTGGCAGTCATTTGTTTGTCCAAAGAGTTTGAAAACTACTGCTTTAATGAGCAACTGGGTTCATAGGATTTTATTGACACACATCGTATAAAAACATGGTGTGAAAACAGATAAAATTCAGAATTTTCTCCAAACAACTATTACTTTAATTGATTAAAGTAGTACATTTCGGCACTGTATCTACTAGCTAAACAACATATATATGCCTGTAAATAGAAAATGTAAAAGCTGGAGAAGAAAGTGACAGATTAGAGAGAGCAAATTAGGACGTAAAAGCTGAAGATACTCAGCAGCCCTGACATTGAGGCCAATTCATGTTTAACCAGAAAAGTAGGATGAGATTTGGTTCCAATCTTTTAAAACTACAAACACTATTATCCAGGATTTAATAAACTCCTTTAATATTTTAAACCTTTAACAATTCAAGGCTTAACAAAACAGGTAAAGAAAATATTTGCCATGACTGACAAATCAAGTTCCCTATTAAATAATATTATTGAATACAGATTTTTAAAGTTACTAATAAAACTATAACACATTAAGAAAGCCAAGTACATACCATAAACCAGTTAGAAAGCAAAATAAAAAGAAATCAGATTAAAATTTGAAAAAGAAATCAGGATTAAAATATGAAAATTAAAGCGGAAATGTTTTATGATATTGAACGTCACTTCCAAATCTGTAAATACTGCAGGAATTTTAACAAGTCAGTTTCTCAAGGCAATGGGATTAAAGCTTTCTAATTTTATTAAAAGTTCGAACTGAAATGTTTTAAATTTAAGAAACAATCACACATGAACTAACTCTAGAAAATTCTAATTATTGGCAAAATAAAGGTATGAACTTAAAAAAATACTAAGGTGACCTGAACAGATTTGTCTGTGTCAAACTGCATGACTTCGGGCTTCTTACATTTTGGTTTTTTTTCTGCAGCAGCAACTCACCATGCTTGCAAATAAGATTAAGAACCTCAAGCAGTAAAAATAAATGGTGAACCACTTTTGACAGTACACTGATATGGGCAGAATCACAGAAAAATCAAACATTTGCCATCCGACCCATGATCATCGACACTTGTAGCAAAATTTCAATACAGGACACTGGACACTTACATATAAGTATTTAGGTTTTTAAAGTCTGAAGTGAGAAGCAGCAAGTCTGGCTTAGCCATGTCAATATTAAGTGTGACAAAAGCTTGAAAGAATTAGTGTTTTACCATTGCTACGAAAACCAGGTTAGGTATCATTCTTTTGTTAGTAAATGGGAAGAAATGAACAGAAATAAATTTCTATCTATTAATACAAATATCACCCCTGAGACTATGAACTCTGGAATACTACTTCCTGATAGTACCTGGAATAATACTTTCTGATAATAATTTATCATGGTCTATGTGACACAAAATACATGTCATAACATCAACTAACATTCTGGATCATCTGCTGACTGACACACCAGCAGGAACGTGACAACACTAAGCCGAACTTTTGTATTTGCCAGGAAAGAAACACACCATACAGACCAACTTTATAGATGTACAGGCAACTATTGTGTTAAACGAGGGTGGTGGAAATGTTAATTATATTTACCTTTTGATCGTCTTGGATCATCTGTAAATCCTTCAGTGACTTCTCTAGCCTGGACTTCTCGTCTAGTGCAGCCGTAGCCTGTGATACATCGAAAATGTACAACCTCAGAAACGTATTTTAATTGAAAACATAAGAATAATAACCATGGGATTCTCATTTAGATTTTTTTTTTTTAAATATGTAAACAGCATTAAGCATTCAAGTTTACAGGGAATTTACCTGTGTTTCTATGGTCTTGAGTCTGGTCTTCAATTTTTCATTTTCTTCTTGGAGACAAGCCACTGTCTTTAGGTTAATGAATGAGAAAAAGTTTGTGAACACTCTTGTACTATTTAGAATTTCCCAAAATTCTGGGTTTTTTCAGGTAAGAAAATATGCTTCATAGTTTAACAAAGCAAACAAGCATATGAAAATGGCCTCCATAAGAAATTAGTAATCCAGTTATTTAACGTGTTTTCTGCCTCAGTCAGCAAGAAATTTAAGTCTCCAATTCTACTGTAATAAACAGGACTATTCATTTAAATTTGGCACGTGCTTCACTGAATTGAGCTTAGTGAAACATCTTGTTAGTATCAAGAGTCACGATAAAGAAAATTGCACGTGCAGAGATGCAAATCTCATTGCTGCTCATCATTTGTATTTTCAATCAACAGGCAAGTAAGAACTTATTCATAGTTCACGTTTAAAAGAGACAAATTCCAGGTTACTGCATATCATATTCTGTGAATTCTAGAAGACAGAAAATGCAACTTCTTGCTAAATACCTTGACTGCCCATAACTTAAAAGTGTATTGTAAGAAGTGCAGCATTTTAAAAAAGTTCAGCTGAACTAAACAAGTCCAATACCTAATAAAAACTACTGATAATATTAAATACTAGAATGTGTTTTGTAATTCCGGAATTTTTAGAAGTGGGAAATCAGATGTTCTCAAAACTAGTAAATTTCAAATTCCTTAAGTGCCTGTTTCTTTAGGAGGAATTTAATCAACTAACAAAAGAAAAAAGACTGAATGTAATGACTGACTTCAAATGATAGAGAAAATGTTTGACAAACTAATCATTTTGGCCAGCTACATATTTTAATTTACTTTCTTGTTGAAAAGGAAAAGCCAGACAGCTGCACAGAACAAACAATATTGGTTTCTACTAATTTACCTCAATAAATGGAAAAATAAATCATTACAAAGGCCAAAATGTCTTTGCAAATGGAAAGTCAATATTACAATTCATGTTAGAGACCATAACCACACTATAAATTTAAGATGCTTTACGATATTTATTAATTTATTAGCATTTTACTTTACATTCTGGGAGATATTACCTTGATGTCTATAGCGACAGGCACATTCTACAGATATTACTGTACAGCTATCAAGCTCAGCTGAATAAGCAGAATGGTCATTGATCACAATGGCCCAGACAGACAAGTTCTTACCTTGTTTAGCAGCTCTGACCCACCTTCATTTAATGGAGCCAGTTTTGGTTTAATGAGATCTGCACTGGGCTAAAGAAATAGTAAAGATTAAAAAATTAAATTACACAGATTTCAAGAAGGAAGAAAAGTATTCCTTTAGTCTGTAAAATAAATACTGACTTTTAATTCAGCTTTCTTTTGTAAAGCGAATGAATGACCTATTATTTCAAGTTCATTTTTTACTGGTACCTCAGCTCTTAAGTTATATACTTCACTTTCAGCCAAAGTTAAACAAAAATACTGCAGAGACATAAAAGGATTGCAAACTTGAATTTATAAAAGACTACCAATGCTGCAGCAACCAAAAGACAAAGGAGTAAGCAAAACAGAAAGAATATTTGAGTGATTGTAAGAGTAAAAAATATTTACACAGCTCCAAATAATTTTCTTATTTTAAGTATTCAAATAAAATATATATTAACTAAATATACCTTTACGCTACAAACCAAATAAGGTGCAACCATAATCATACCAGATAAACTAGAGTCGTATATGTAAGGTGGCATCTTCTCAGCTCTTGACTGCATGTTGGGACAAGCAAATGGCCTGGTCTTACCCCAATTTCCAGAGGGAAGGGAATCTAGGAGCAGTTGCTCCAACACACCCCTGATCCGGCTGACTTTGGGATGAGGATTATGAGGCATGCCCTGGATGAGCAGAATCTGCAGTCTGGAAACAGCCAAGGCAATGCAGTGCAACCCTTGGTGCCAAAATGCAAAATGCTACTTTTTGGAGACTTTAAAAGATTTGTTTTGAAAAATCGTGGGGGTTTTGGTTTTGTTTTGTTTGTTTCTCTTAAGCACAAAGAGTCAGTACTAAGTATTTTAAAGATCTGTCATGACTCCGTATGACATATGATTATGATTTGATTAAAATAAAACTCTACCTTCTTGTTTGAAGATGTAAATTCTGACTTTTCAAACTCAGCAACCTGTTCCAACAATTCTCTTGAAAAGAAAAATAAAGGGAGGCATTTATTTTACTAAGAGAGCTGTGCTAGGAAACAGATTTTACCAAGCTGATGCTATGCTCTTTATTTCATGTAAGATTCTCATTAGAAGTACAGAATGAAGTCCTATGCAAATACAACAAATGCAACAGCTCATGTCACGCAACAGTATGGTATATGCATTAGAACTGTAACATTTAGCATCCTTGATTAAAATATAATCTACCCAGACAACAAAGGCTTTTTAATCAAAGCCTATCACCTACTCTTAACTGATTAATCCAAGTAAGCATATAACCAATAAAAACATCTTCCTGACAAATCTGAAATTATTGTGCACCTTGCTACTTTATAGATGGAAGACTTGAAACTAACCTATCATTGTTACAATAGTAAAAGAATAGGTTTCTATGGTTAGGAAAAGAATGCAAATAGTCGACACTTTCTTACATCTTTAAGTTAGAACTTTTATCTATAAGTTTTCTTATTATTGAAAGACATATATGAAAGTCCAATAGATGTTACCGATTCTCCAATTCAGAGATGTCCGTCTGTAACTTAAGGTACCATTTCTCAGCCTGTGAAAAGAGCTGACGCAGAAGTAAAACATCGGTGTAAGTTGTATTTATGAGCTCTGACTCCACTTCACTGTGTACAACAGTCCGCAGTCCATCCAGCATGTCTATCACCTCATCGACTGTGAAGGTCTCCTCAACAAGTCTAAACAGAACAGTCAAGGTGAGTCATGTATGATAAAGGTAACGATTTTGTGTTGTTATGAGACCTCACTATACAGGTATCACTCTTAGATAATGCAGCGTCCTTATGAAAACATCCACTGTCAGTAGTTATTAGATGACCATGGCACTACTAATTGGTTATTGTATTTAAATTTTCTCTTGGAAACATTACAATCACAAATATTACTTCAGCTACAGTCTTGCATCGAATTTAGACATCAGAAGCAATATATAAAGCAAGGCCATGCTGTTGATATCTCTGTCAATTCCTAAGAATCCGAACATCTTAGTTTTAAAAGGTCTTGACTTGTAACGTTTGCAAAATTACTGGGTCTTTCTTCCTCACTAAGACCATACCAATGTAAATGGAGAAAGTTGCCCCATAAAGCATTTAAACCTGTGCTTGCTGCTAGCATATTTTGCTTTATTCTTGCTCAGAGCCACCCCCCACGGTACCTGCTGTCCTTAAGGTCCTGAAAACAAGAATCCACTGTTTTGAGACACAGGCCACGCTTGAAACGAGCAAAGCGCATGTAGCTGATCACTTCATTCTGGTGGTGCTCATTAAGGCCTAGCTCCGCCTGCGGATAAGGACATAAGCACAAGGAGAAATGTACACTGAAATATGTAAAAAGGAACATAAGTATTGTGAAGACTTGCCTTCTGACTAGTTTCTGTGCTTGCTTGCATACAGTTATCATGTTAACTAGTACGTTAAAAGCCAACCATATTTTCATACGTGTAATCCCTATATACCTCACATGAGTGCCCCCACTTTGAAAGTGCCACTAACTTGGAAGTAAGTCCTCAAGTGACCAGTACCCTCAGAAAAGTCATACAAAATTGGAGACAGAGACAATCAGAGGATCAGAACCAGGACCGTAGGGGAGAAGAAGCTCTTGGATAGATTTGTTTGTATTACATGTACATGCATATAATGTAGTTGAATGATGTATTTTTTTAAAGATTAACAAAAATACACAGGAAAGTAGGTTATGTTTCTTTGTTAGTTTGTACGTAAAATCTTGAGACTTCTCATGTAATCTTAAGTGATAGTCGGAATTTGTTTCTCAACAGCCCAGACACAAACATTCCCAGGGCAAATTAAGAAGGAAGGGTTTTTACTCTGGCTAACTAGCCCCTCTACATATGCCTCTATTTCAAAAGAAGGAATATTGCCATGGCCAATGACGTTTGAATAAACCTTGCTCATGTAGGCAGCACAAGTCACGAGGAGGCACAACACAGCACGAATGGGAGTTTATAAGCACAGTCCCTGGAAAGCTGATGCAACCAAAGGTGAAGCCCATTTCATTTGCCCCAAGCTACTGAGTCAGCATTGCTGGTGTTGGAGACAACAGTGTAGCAACTCAGACCAAACAGTTAATCTGATCACCTTGTCCTCATTAATCCAACTGCACGGAGTAGCTCCAGTGAAAATGCAGTGCTGCGATACCTGGATGAACAATACTGAAAACGCGTAGTAATTACATGTAGTAAATAACTAATTTAGTAAAATATGTTGAGTCCCTTCTTAATAGCTTTTCCATTACTTTAATCATTCTTGAGCCCTTTTTCGAGCCTCTTTTAAGTACCTTTCTTAACATGTGGTAACAGTAATATGTATAGTATGCCAAAGGAGGCTGTTACACTGACCTATACGTAGGAGATGTACAGATCTCAACTGCCTGGAAATTAAAGGCGGTCTAGAAAATGGCAACAGGAGTAAATAAAACAAGCTCTCACAACGCGTTTGCAAGTCCAGTGTCTCCCATAAAGTCCCACATCTTGCAAATGAGAGATCATACGAAAAGCTCAATTAACAGCCTCTTTGCTGTCGCTGGGTTTTCTTGAGGTGAAAAGTTTCTATTCGTTACAGACAGGAAGACATACGCCAACACCAGCGCTGAAACCTCACAATCCAGAGCGCAACCACCAAGGGACATTAAACTAGTAAATAAATCCATAAGCTCAGACCAAAGCCACTCGTGATCTCCAAGTCAGCTACGCCGATACGCAGCGACACGCCCGCGGCACCGGCCCCTGCAAAAGCCCCGAGC